CCTGAAAATGAGGTTTTCTAAAATATACCCTGCATTGTACAGTCAGGATATTGTGTATCTAAGTTGATGACCACCTGGCAGTTTTCAACCTTTATGATTAAGACCTGTTCTCTTAGAAATAGACAATGATTTTTAACTACCAGTCAAAGGTTTAGACACACTCTCCCTTTAAATTGAATGAGAAAGTGTGTCCAAACTTTTGACTGGAGTGTAAATCCAAGTACAGCTAGTTAATGAAAAAACATTGATAAACACACTGTGTTAACCTGATAAACACTACAAGTAAGAAAAGAGAGAAACCACAGAGTTGAGCCATAATTCTCAGTGGTTTTATCACTATGTGCACTCCCTGTCTTGGTGTCGTATTTCATCGTATTTTAACATGTATTGAGCCTCTGTATATACTATATGTGTAATTATGAATTCATAATGTAGACATGGCTGGCACAGAACAAAAATGACAACAAATGGGGAAAATGTGTCCTTTAGCAACGAGTGTGATCCATCATTCATTCTGCAGGGCGCAGCCTCTGCTCTCATTTCCTGCTTTTAATTGCTTTTTAAGAGTGAATATGATAAAAGATGGGAGTTTGTTTTGATTGGGGCAAAGCTCCTTGAAGCGTTGCATCCCACAGGACATTAAAAGCTCCTCCATCCCCACCTGCTCTCTCTTATGCCTGCAGCTTCACCCTCAGCATCAGTCAATGTGATAAAGGCCCCTTGTTAGGGAAGAAAGCAATTTTCAAACTTCAGCTGTGCTGTGACAGACTACTGAAGAGAGGACTCTCTGCAGTGATCAGATCTGGTCTGGAGCTAAAGACCTTTGCCCTTTTACTGTGAATTATTCATTTTGTTCACTGTTAATTGTTATGAAAGTATCAGCGGTGCAGTTTGTGTAACGACCAGACGTTTGACCTGTGGAAACAGCCTCAGCTGAGTGTATGCATTGTGAAAGAACTCACTTGTCAAGAAATGCACAGAGAACGATCACCATCACTGCAGTTCTGCTCAGCACACATCTGTAAATGCTACAGCTAAATATCGTGATTGGTCATATCATCATGTGCTAATGCAACATTTACATTTTCTAAATATTAGAGCTGCTTCGAACAATGATTAACTGGCTGCTGTGTGTGTAATGTAGACAGACCCGCTGAGAGGTACTTCCCTACTTCGCAGTTCACCTCAGCCCTGTTTTAGCATCTGTCAGCTGCTGTAATTATTTTGGTTTTACAACCTGTAAATCGTCATTTGGTTCCAGATTACCACTCTCATCAGCCTTGATCCCATCTAGAGCAGGAAGCTGTTTTCAGTGAAAAAAACTCTGATAACATTTATCAGCTAAATCGCTATTTCGCCCCTGATGTTGATGAAGACCAAAACAAAACTAAAGGAATAATCAGTGTTGTATATTGACTATCGGTGACTGAGGCATCACTCAGTCCCAGCAATCAGTGCCAAGTCCTGGCATGTTGCCATATATCAGTCTGTGCAGCTCTGTACACTGATAAGTAAACACACCCACACAGTATAAGCCGTGAGTTTCGCTCTGAGTACTGACACACCATGAAGCTACACAGCCACCCTCTCAGCCATCTGCAGGATTGACTCTCAGGTGGCTCGGTGAGTGCAGACTGTCACTTGCAGGAAGGCTTGCCTTTAGCTATGTTGGCTGCCAAGAGGCCACAGGGCTCTGGAGTTCATTGCTAAACTATGCAGCTGTCACTCAGTGCAGAGTATATGCTGGGATACAGGGGGGCTGGAGAGGAGAAATGGTGAGGCACATTCATCGACCTGCCCAGAGAGCTTCAACAAATCCTCCTAGAGGTTTATTTTATATCTGATAGTAAAAGGGTTTGAAAGTGGCCACCCAAGCAGCGTAAACAGTCCTACAGGGAGTTGGAATCTGTAGTCTGACATAATAAATAAGCCCCATCGATCTGCGAGAGGTGACATGGGTGGCAATTGGGCTGTCACGCAGCTCATGAGTTATGACCCTGTTCTGGCAGACTGGTGAAAAGTGGCTGATGAGAACAGGTAAGACAATACAAAAACAAAATATTTATGAATCCTTTCAAGGAAAAAGAAATCCCAACATTCTTGTAGTGACTGAGAAAAATAGTTTGAAACACAAGTGTCTCTGGTATCCATTTACTTTACTATTAGCCACAGAGGCATTGCTGTCTTGTGAATTGTTTTGATGCACAACTGAAGGCGATGGACTTCCCATATAAACATTACTGGTCCATTTACTGACCATAATTGCAGTTCATCATTTGCTGATCTTTCCATTTCTTCATGTTCAATTCAATTTCAATTCAGTTTTATTTGTATAGTGCCAAATCACAACAGTCGTCGTAAACTGACAGTTCTTTGCAGCTGTGGATCAAGAGGTAGAACAGGTCATCTCCTAAAAAGAAAGTTGGTGGTTTAATTCCCAGCTTCTCCAGTCCACACATGTCCTTGAGAAAGACACTGAACTCTCAGTTGCTCCCACTTGGCTGTTTTTTCAGTGTCATGACTTCACTTTTAAAGCATATGTGAAATAATTGTTTTGTTTTTCCATATCTGTGTAAAGAAGCGTGTGAGAGGTGTTTGGCACATGGGTCAAAGTTCCAACCATATTCAGACAATCAGAGAAAATTATCAAATGTACTTGTTGGAGCAGGACTGGGCTGCATGAACATGTTGTTTATTAGCAGGCAACTGCACTGTACCTAAAATAATTGAATAATTATGCAGTACTTTTAAAACCTCTTCTACAATCCACTCCAGCCTGAAGGTAGATGTAAGATTCACACACACACCAAAGGCTCAGATGATGTAGGTGATGACCTATTCAAGCATTATTTGGCGTCCTTCAGCTCTTTAAGTCATTCTGTGTATTGTCTGATGGTCTGCAATGGTAACACAGGTGAAGGCACGGGATTATCACTGCACACATCTTGAATATAAAAAGCAAGGATAACAAAGACACTCCCTGCTTTCGCATTTTTCTCAAGTTTCTGAGCACCCCTTTATTTCACATCTCTTCAGCCTCGGTGAGCACTTCCATCACAAGTGGCCTGCAAAAGTCACAGGTCGCAGGCCAAAGGCTGAAGGCAGGAGAACAGAATTAATATGCATTTCACAAATGCTGGCGCACAGTGACTAAAGCAATTAACCTTCTGTCCTGGATGTGATGTGTGGGAAACTTAACAAGGCTATTCTCTGCCTTTAATTACTCTCCACAGTCACAGAGCCCAGCCAGGATTAAAAGTTGCCTCAGGAGTGCAGCCAAAGTTAGCCATGTTTACATACACACACAACCAATTTGGTTATTAATTATATATGGTTTAATAATCTCATATAACCAGGGGTTTAGTTTACTTTTACATGTTTTTCAAATGTGCCAACCTCTCTGAGTTTGTGCCCCAGCCTGGCCACCCCGTCCAAAATTTTCTGGATCCGCCCCTGCATAAAACCAGAGCAGTGAATTGAAAGACACTAAAACGTTCCATCGAGCTGAGGGGAACTGCAGACATGGGTGATCATTCTCTGTTGGACTGTCAAAATCAATTACCCAGCTCACCTTGCACATAGTAAATTAATCAGTTTTTTATATACAAATATTGATTAGTGCAGCTTTCAATTATTGAATTGATCTGCTAAAATGACTGTAACAGTGTCAAAGCTGATGTTGTACCCATTAACAAGAGAGTCACTCACTGACTGACAAAGGTTTGCTAGAATTCTACATTGGGTCTTCATCCTTCTTGCCCTCTTCCTATTAATAAGGATCCTCTTCACTGTAAATTCTCCTATCATCTTTCTTTGTCCTCTTTTTTCTCCTCCTCATCACATCGTAGTCACCTTCACCATCCTCAGCCTTGACCATCACAGCCATCATCATCAGCACCACCATCATCATTATGTCACCATTCTCACTGATGTGAATATGTGTTTATAAGTACATCCATACAGCAGGACAAAAATCATTTTGTTCTATCAGGCAGTTAAGCTGCCCAGCAACTCTGACTGACAAATAAAACCCAGTTTTCACACTTTTTGTAATGCAGCTGATCCCTCCTGCAGCTATCTGAGGTCATCAGAGCACAAAACACATTCAGTCAGTTTGATTCACACATTATCCGATACCAACTACATAATGACTGGGTCAGTATGGATGACAACTGAATCAGAGCACAACTGGAAACAGTGACACGGATATGCCTGAGAAAACGGAAAATAATGGTTGTTCATTCAGCATTTTGTACGTCAATGAGAAGCAGCCTTTTGTGTTAGGTTAGATGAGTTTATATGTCAGTATCTTACTAAGAGAAAATTAGTAAAGAATAGTTTACCTTCTACAGGCTGCCAGGCTGATTAAATGTCCCAGTGATTCTCGGTGTAGCTGATACATGGCTGTCCTGGGGATTTTAGCTTAGTCATGCTCACAGTGCTAAGGTCTTAACAATGTGAAACATAGATTTTGTCAAGGTAAAAATCATCTTCCAGAGCTGAACCTTCCAAAATTAAAAGACTTGAGATCGGTTTATTTGCAAACAAGCAAACTTATGTAAGCAGTAGTTACTTCACTATTTCTTTTAGTTCAAGAACACGCCCTAAACAAAAGCCATGTGTGTGTCAGTATGTTGGTAATCAATCATTTGAAACAGCCTGAAGTTGTGTTTATCACCTCCACGTTTGACACAGAGTCCAGGTGTTGGTTTCGCTGCTGGTACAAACAGCTGAAGAAGCTGTCTGACATGTTCAAATATACTGGGTAACAACCATACGAACATCATAAACAGTGCCGGAAAAAATACTGTGCACTAAAATTTCTGTAACCACCTTTCAAAGATTTCTGCACTTATATGGACACTTAGATCCCAAAAGGCATTGAAACTCAGCTAGTACACACACAATACAGATGCAATCAGAGCTCTAAAATCATTTCTTTGATCTGACTCAGTAGGGGGAACAAGTTGCTTTTCTAACATACTAAAGTCACCACCTACCAAGAAAAATGATGGTCTGCTTCCTGGCTGTCTTGACCTTTGAACTTTCATGCTTGGGTGCTCCGCTGATCCCTCCATCCAAGGAACTCAAAGGTTTCTGCAGGACCACGATCATAGCTCGGCACATGAAGGCCACACAGACCAGCACGATAATGTAGATTATGAAAGCCACAAAGATGCTGACTCTGAACATCACCCAGTGCTCCTTCAGATTGGTGCAGAAAGTCAGATTCTGAACAGGTGTATCTGCTAGGGCGGGAATGTGACCCTGGGTTCCTGTTGCAATCAGCAGTGGCAGGGCCACGAGCACGGACACCAGCCAGGCAAAAGAAATGAGGACAGAAGTACGTTTTCCACCCAAAGCTTTGAAGTGAAATGGATGGCAGATAGCCACATAGCGCTCATAGCTAAGTGTTGCCACATTGAGGATGGTAGCGTAGCTGCAAGCCTCAAATAGGAAATTGTAGATCTTACAGGAAGCATTGCCAGATGCAGACGTGAAAGGGAACCAGATAGCACTGTAGAGCTCTACTGGCATGCCGATGAGAAGCACCAGCAGGTCGGAGCATGCCAGGCTAACCATGTGGTCGGTCACATTCTTCTGCAGATAGCCATTTTGCTTCAGCACTTGGGTCACTCTGATAGTGACTGAATTACCCACGATACCAGTCACTAGGATGAGGCTGTACAGAACTGTCAGGAAGATTTTAACAGAGTAGTTGGGTTCAAGTTCACTCCAGTCTTTCTCATCTGCTATTTCCATTTCCTCACTCATGGTTACAAGGTGGCGAGCTTGGATTTTCCCGGTATTGATTTTGTCCTTTATCTTATCAGTTCTGCCGGGTGCAGTCGCTGTGATTAGAGCCAAAATCCAGAGGTGAAAAGTCTACCAAGATAATGGCTTATGCTCAAGACTTTTCTTTCTTCATGGAGAATCCACAGTAGCAAATGTCTCTGTAACCGTGACTTGTCTGTACTTAGTTACGTTCCAAATTCTTAACACTAAAGTCCACTGGCTCTAAGCCTAGTCCCTTCCTGGTCCAAATTGTAACGTTTCCGATGGTCATCTGGGATTCCCAAGAGTCCTCAGAGGTCCTAAAGCAGAGACGTGGTTTCAGTTCAGTCTGAGCAAACTATTAGCCAACATACAACTCCCACAGATCTGCTCCTCCCTCCTATGAGAACAGGCAGGTTTTCCTACCACAGTTAAACATTAAACACTACCACGGGCAGCTTGAGTGCTGAGTACTGGTTTCATCTGTTATCATCAATGCTTCCCTTTCACAGAAACACTGCTTTACCTGAAGTTGAGACTGGAAACACATTTATACAGTTGTAACTCACAAACTGATAAGAAAAAAACAGGAAAAACATTCCTGATTTTGACAAAATAAATCAGATGAAGTGCGATTTACAACTAGCAGCTTTGTTTGGAGATACTGTTAAAGCTAAAAATGGAGATGTAACAGAAAGATCCTAAAAGTGACATTCACCCTGAAGATGCCTGTGCACATGGGAAATGTAGGCAGTGACCAGCGAAGGCATGTATGGGCAAGGTATCTTATTCTTTCTTCTCTTCTTTTTAAGGCAGGCAACTTGAAATGTTCAAACAAAAACAAGACTGAAATAAGCCAGGCCTAGCTGAGTAGGGGAGGTGAACATTTCTGTGGTTGATAAAACGACACAGTTAGAGCTCTAAGAGACTGATTCCAGTATATTTAGATAATGAATGGTTCATGTTAGGGATTTTCCCTTTAAACATTGAGGAGAACACTGACTGCATTAATTCTAACAACAGCCGTTTGTCATTCTTAGAAAAAAAAAGACCCCGTTCTTCAAACTAATCCAGGCAGACAAACAAGAAATTATGTTGACAGCTTGAAGCTGATTAGATAAACGCTTTGAGTGCTCTTTCTCTGTGATTGTACATTGTGAGAAACTGCCAATTAAACCTTCATGCATGGCATCACATTGTGAACTAGATATTAACTGTACAAAGTGAAGAAAATAAAATTAAGTGTGATTGTTCATTATGATACTGATGCCTCTTAATTTGTCTCCAGGTCCATTTGAATTATCTGCTATTGTGTTCAGATGTATGAGACAGTGTGATATACCTCAGTACTGATATGGTGATATGTAAGAGATGAACCCACAGCTGTTAGATGTTCAAGGATGTAAGTCATAAAATGATTCACAAACATGAAACGGGCTTAACTAATGCCTCATTATTTACATTATAAAATGAGTCATGCACTGCAGGGATAAAGCAGACTTTTTGTGTGGACGCAGATTCAGTACACACAATTAATATAGGCTGATTTTATTTAGAATAAACCTACAACTTTGCCTCTAAAATCTATTTTCATAATGTGTTGAAGCCTCTACACACCAGTACTCCCACTGCTGAGATCTTCTCAGTTTTATCCAACCAAACTGGCCTATTCAGTTTTACTATCATGACAAAAACGATCAAGGCAAACACAACTGGCCAAGATGGAAACAGAGCAGTGAACAGCATCCTGTTTGTGGTCAGACAATGTGGACAACGTCTCCTCCCAGCAGCCCACAGCTTTAGATTCTGAACCAGAAACTCAGCAGAGAGGACATCTGAATCAGGCTGAGCTTGAAAATCCATTCCTTGATCTAGACTGTGTAGATTCATGACTGGATTAAATAAAACCCATAAAATCACACTTGATATTAAGGTTGTGTCCCGGTGTCTGGGCTCTTTGGGGCAGTGTTCACTCAGTGGTACAGACTGTTCACTTGGTGTTCAAAAGCAGAGACATCCTGTCACTTAATATGAAAGAATCGCCTGTTTTCTGGAAATACTATGAACAGCTGATGGAGATCAGCATCACGTGGCCTGTACCTTTAATAAACGGGGTTTCCGCCCCTTGTTGTTATGTAACATGCGGCGTACCGGTGAACACAACAAACAGCCTGATTATCGTGGTGGGATAGGAGGTGGGTCAATGGGTGGTCCTTTAGACCAATTATCCAATGATCAATCAGGGCCGCGTGGAGTGGGCGGGGCCATACACCTTTTTGAACTGTGAGAGCTGACAGGTGCAGTTGTTTGCTGAGTCCACCAGGCATCTCCTAAGTTTCTGTGTCAGTCGCTGTAATCTCGGTCCAAACGTTGGGTTTTGATTCAGATACCTTGGTTTGGTGCCAGGAAGTTAGCAAACAATATTCAGAGGCAAAACCAAACTGAGGGAAGGCGTTTAGAAATTGTATTCAACTTGTTGTGCTGCAGAAAAATGGAGCTCGGAGTGTTTGGTAAGGCCCAGAGCTTTTATTTAAGAAAAACGGTTTGTATTAATGGTTATTTAACTCATTATCGTTTGCTTTCTCCTGCTACAGGTGTGTGAGCCGAAATACACACAAGAGGTCTGTTTGTAGCAGCTCGGCTGCATTGAGGAAGTGGATGTCCAGTTTATGTGGTTCAGAGAAAAGTTTATTTATTTAAAGAAAGCTGGAAAAACAACAAGAAGACACTGGGTCGAACCGGTCTGTCAAAATAAATTATTAATTCTATCAGTTCCTTAAAACTCAAATTTAATAATTCTTTCATGCAATTTTTACATTTGATACTTTAATTCTAATTTAATAATCAATTTTAATTCAAAGGGGCTTTATTGGCATGGATGTTTTAACAATGTTGCTAAAATTACAATTTGTTTATAGGTACTTAATTATTTGTAAAGTTTAAAATATATATATCATTTTTAAGTGCGTGTCTGTCATTCACAGTCCCCATGTTGTGGTATATTGATAGATAGGGCATCAAGAAAAGCTTTTCCTAGGAGGAGGAAAGGCTTTTCTTGATGTTACTCGGTGTTAAGGGCCTTTGTTACTTCTCTGGTTCTCCATAATTTTTATTTGAGGTCTAATTCTTTGAATTTTGACACTACAGAGTAAAAAAAATAAAAAATCAAAATAAATGTTTTGAGTCAAACTAATTTTATTTATTTTTCTCTTTTCAGGTAGATCTACGAACTGTAAGTCAATAATTTTTACTTTATTGTGGGTTCCCTTGTCAGACCACCCCCGCACCTGCGCTAGTTTATTCATTAAAGGGGTCTTGTTGTGTTCATTTTGCCACAAGTTTACTGTGACATCTGGAGTGTTTAGTTCAGGTGTTTTTGCCGGCCCTCCATGCCCAACTCTCTTTCCAACATGGCTGCTTTGCCATGACTATTTAGATTTTTATGTGTCATCAGACCGAAAGTGACCTTCTGTAAGTAGGTTTGTGTAATAGGCATAACTCTAGGTTGCTAGGCACATAAAACTTATAGGAGTTTCATCTCTCATGCGGTTGATCTCTATCACTCGCTCCCATGTCGCCCGTCCGTCGGTTTTACGTTAAGCATCAGGTCATTTCAGCATTGATCTACAAAAGGTTATGTGCCTTTTCCTTACTTCTCTAACCTGGTCGGCTCCCCACCCAGATGGCTGCCACACCACAACGATTTTATTTTTGTCCTGGATTTCCTCGGTCAACGTAGTGCATCCGTTTACAAAAGGTAATGTCGGATCTCTCGATCAAGCTTTCTTTCTCTCTTACTCTCTCTCTCAAACATGACCCATGCGTCATGACTATTTCTGGCTAATTTGCTTGAATGTGTTTTATTGCAATAACACTTTGATTTTCAGGAAATCAACAAAATTGTAAGTCTCATTTTTATTATTTTCCCTTGTCGCGGCAGCACCTGTCTGCCTCTGTCTCTATCTTCCATTTCCGATCTTTATTTTCATCTCTTGGTCCATGGAGGCGCCTGGTTTAGTGTTTGGTACATTTTGGATAGTTTCAAACTCAATTACACATTAGCTCAATGAATTTTTAAATAGGAACTGATATTACTAAAATCCTTAGAATCAAGAAATCAATTAAATACAGATGTTCCAAAATACTTTCCTTTAAATTGGCAATAAGATTGAAACAGCCTGATACAGATGGGCCATAATGACTGACCATGAGACTCGGACTCGACCTGACCTGACCCGATGAGACCCCCTCAGCTGTGGGAAGCACAGTCAACTACACACTTAACGCCAGCATCACCTTGGATGAGATGGCGGCAGCAGCTGAATGAACCTTTCCTCTGGAGTTGATTATGTGAAAATCTGGACTGAAACTTGGGATCCTCTGAAGAACCTCGCCAGTGAGGGGGCCCCCCCCCACCCCATCTATGTGTTTGTCCAGCAATCTTTCTGTTTGTCTGCACATCTACATTTGTCTTTTGTCTTTTTATGTTTGTCTGTCTCAGTTTCTGTCCATGCACACTTGTCTCCATCTTTTGTTTGCATGTTCTCGTCTGTCCATAAAAGTGAAGGAGCCATGAGCGTCTGATTAAAAAGGTAAAGCACTAAACTTTTAGACAGTCCTGTCCTTCAGTTCCTCCTACAGGTGTGTGACAGACACCACAACAAGCAGTGCTACATGGGAGGATGCTCATAAGGCGAGGAATGACAAGACACTGCTTCTTGTCTCTGTTCAACATGGTCGCCATGGCAACTTAGACTCCACCTGGATGATATGAGAAGCAAATACAGATGTACGAGTTTCGGTGACTAATCATCTGACGACCTCCATGATGTGGGACCGGTTTGCTGCTGTAGCACCTCCAGATACTTTCATAAAAGAAGTATTGAAGGGACTTGGCTTTCTCTCTCTCACACTGCTTATCTGTCCAACATGGCCGTCTATTCTGTGTTATTCGTGTCCTCTGCTTAGATATCCTTTTGATTTACAGCCACAATGTATGCTTGTATTTCCATATAGCGATTGTAGACTGTTAATCTTACCTGCATTTTAATAGTCCAGCACTGCTTTGGTTACTGGGGTAAACTCTGCCTGAGATCGGCCTGAGGCCGCCTGTTGCTCTGTGCTCACTTTATACTCTGACACATTAGATTAATTGTCTGTACCACTGTTTGGGACACTGACTTTCTCTAGTGCTCACTCAGCCCATAGATAATCTGTCACAATACATATAAAGTCTTTTAACAAAACCAGAATTAACATGGGTGTGGCTTTTGAACAATGGTGACAACTGAGAGAACAAAAGAGGGGTGGTGGATTTGTTAGATAAACTGGGCTCTTTTCCAAACATAAACATCACTTTGAATCTTTAACTTCCTAAAATCGACAGTAATCAGGCCGTGTGCATTGTGTTTTGGAGGATTGGCTTTAGAGAGAAGTCAGAACAAAAGGGTGGGATTTCTTTGGTTGTCTACTTTAAAATTCTAACGTCCTCTTGCTGTTTTTTTCCAGTAACTCGTAAGTACTATGTCTATCTGGCCAATGCTTATGAGTGTGATATCTCAGAAATGCCGAGAAAATTTATTCAAATATGGCACAAACGTCCACTTGGTTTTGGTGGTCACGGCACCCTCATGTTTGCCCCATTCCTGTAAATCTGGCTGGTTGGTGAGGGCATATGACTGCAAGGTGATAATTCTAGTTGATCTGATGATGGAGCAACATAAAAGTCCAAACTTCTATTCCTGTAGATGTTATTTCCTTGGATAATTAAAAATTTTGACTTGCATATAGCACTAGACAAAAACAGGTTTCATTCTCTGGCAGCTGTGAACGTCTGTATAAAATGTATTATACTTAATATTTCAGTCTGGATTGTACTTACTGAGAGACACTGCCATTTGATGACCCACGCTGCTAGCACGGCTTAAAAACTGGTACAGGTTGTTTAACCACAGTGAACACTGATGGCAGCACTAGCACCCAACATAAATCTATGGTCAGGAGATATAGCTAATACATGCTAACAAATTATTAAAAGCAAAGTTAATATCACAGGCTTTTTCTGTGACGCCATTTAGATCTTATAGCATTTTTATTAATGACAAAGAAATTGATAATAAAAACAAGACAAACCTGAGAAAGAAAAATAAATCATACCCATGATTTAACAAGCACCACTGATAGATGATAAATTCATTTTTTAAGTCTATGCTGACAACATGGGAACTTTTACCACCTGTAAACTAGTCATGCTAAACAGAACTTCCCTACCATGGTAGAAGGTGGGACTGATTGGCAACAACACAGTAAGTGCAATAATAAACAAGAACAAACCAGTTTGTATCCATTGAGCACTTCTCAACCTGTTCATTTACACTCGCAGGTTGGTTATTACTTCCTCCACTTTATAAGTCTGAGTGCAATAAAAAAGCACTCATACAGATGTACACACATTCGACATTTTAATAGCACTGACATTTCACCTTCAAATAGTATTTATCCCCTGAATTACATGACAGATACCAAGGCTGCTAGAAGCAATGCCTTCTATCATCACATGAAATCACAAACCCTAAATAAATAATTTTTTGTTTATGAAATAAACAGGCTCACATGTACCAACCAAATTGATATGATGTAGTCTCAGCGGAATGTAAGAGAATTTTGTGACAATGCAATGATGAACTCCCTCTAGCAGTAATCATTTACAATAATACATTGAATACAAATTGATAAATAATCTGAAGAGAAATCTGTAGTGGTCATCTGAAGTTCACGAACAAAACATCAATACTCTGCTACTGTTCTACTGTCTACACTATTTACAGTCATTGTAAAAAGGAAGCTGCTCTTTCAAGCAGACAACCGTTATTGCAACATAGTATTTATAGCAGAAGGCTTGTTGTCAGTTCATATTCAAGCACAAAGATCGTTTCTATCACAATTTGTCTTCAGGATCCAGCACTGTCAGAGGAACAACAAGAAACAAAGTGGTTGTGATGCTCTCCTGTTCATCCAAGTTATTTCAATTCTTCTTCCAGCATCAGATCAAGTTTTCCTCCATAGAAGAAAATAAAGACTAGTCTCAGACTGGAAAAACAAGAGGGAGTATTCTCTGCTGAGAGACATGGGACAATAGTCAAATCATATCAGGACAACATTAGTAGCACCTGAAGATCTAACGGAAATGATCTCACAAAACAGAGTTCACTCAAAAATCACTCATTTTGTCAATGAGACTCCAAACTGCACTAACTTCTACCGATCCAGGTGGTGAAATCGGTGACAACACTGCAGGTGTTTCACTAACATATTGCCTTGGTGACACTAACACCATCAGAAAAGACTAGGTTTGCTCTGTGAGTATGGGCATGGCCATATGATTGTGCATTTTGTCTGCTCCACAGAAACACTTACAAACAAGCAGCGAGGCTTCAAAAGGCCGATGGACAAACATAATGACATGCAGTACAAGACACTGCCCTTCCTCAAGTGATGATGAGAACTCCTTTACACTAATTGAGATTTAAAAAAAACAAACAAACACACAAAGCTACTCCACCTCTGTTAGCATTAGGATCAAGTTCAACATGTACCGATTCATTTGGTTACGTGACAGTACCTTGAGTACCGCAAAGTTTTTTACAGAAAAAGTAAAAAGAAAAAAAAAGAAGCAAAAACAGAATCTTGGTCTGTGATGACTGAAATATGAAAATAAAAAAGAGCTTGTATAAATGGCTGAATCATCTGAATACTGAAAAATAAATAGTTTCAACATGAGGCACTGGGGTGGGTCAATGTGTCTGAACACTTGATTGTCAGCTCTGTGTGATCCCCATTCGCCACCTTAGGAGATAAAGAAAAAAATATATATTACTTTTGACTCACCATGTTAATAACTTCATTTATTCAACCAGTAAAATACATAAAATATAACAGGATTTCCAGAGGAAAGCCTGGGGTGCACCGAAACAGTGACCTCAGTACACGGCCCTGGTTAATTCATTGGTTACAACCTTTACAGTTTTTTATTTTAAATTAAATGTGTCTGGGTTTTGGTCAGTTCGCACAAAACAAACCTTTGAAACAATAACCAAATCCATAATTATCAGTTGCACACTTCCTTTTGATGAAAGTGGGCAGACTGACATGCACGCACACACACATTTGTTCCTCCAGTAGACGCCACACACCACCAGACAGGCTTAAGTACTGTACGTTGAAACTGCATGGTTTTCAGTTCCCACTAATGCCTCCATTAGAAACCACATGCCAAGTTCAAAATCTCTCTCAGCCCTGCTGAGTTTTTGGCCAGTCTCTGTAGCATTAACATTAATTTTAAGCTGAGTTCCTGACCACCTGATGTCTGTATGTCCTACATTCATACTTTAAACAGAGGGTCTGACTTATGTCGACGTTTTTCCAAGCATGTGCAGCTGCACACACGTCTTAAAGATATTTCCATTTCTGCCTGCAAGTCGACTCCTCTCACCCAAGGGTTAGGGTGATTTCCTCTGTGCCGTTTTAGTGTCTTTGCATTGTTTGTTGATTGTTGTTGTGTTTGCTGTGTCGTCGCTTTTCTTTTCTCTCCGCCAGCCATTTAGTGCTGGGCCGATAGAACAGTGCGGGTTTTCTAAAACTAAACAAAACTAAACCAATAAGCTAAAATAGGCTAAAAGGCTCCTTAGAACTGAGCAGTCTTCAAAGTTAGGTGATAATCCTCTGAGTTTGTCATTTTTATGTGGCACACAATAGTCTATGCAGCACTGTCACCCTTAGGCCAATGGGAAGTATATTAACAATAATACATTTAAGTTTGAGCACGTTCATGTTTTTCCCCATGGGTAACTTCAACTAAACCAGCTTATTTATGTGCCCTCCACACACACATGCACACACAATAACATCAGTCACCACACATGTCAATGCCAAGAAGGGATGAGTGATCATTTACATTGTGTTTCACTGTTGGATTAGGAACAGAAGCTTCCTTCGCTGGGGGAGACGGTGTGTAGAGGAATAAGGCTTTGACACTGTTCGCGGTCTTCAGGCATTCTGTAGGCAGAAGGAACGGAGTGTCAGTCTTCATCACACTCAACGTCATGACAGCCATTATTATTATAATCATCCCTCACCAAGTAGGAACAAGCACTCAGAAGAATAGAGAGCGTACGTAACTGCCCAGAGGTTAGTCAGCCAAGCTTGTACTGTACATCTGATTACAGACGTAGCCTAACGAGGCTGAATGAAGTCTATTGTCCTCAGGGGACGTCAGAGAAGAAAGGACTTTATGTATTAGAATTAGTCAATTCATTTTTAATGGCTCACTCACTAAAATACAATTAAGCAACAACTCACTTTTCAAAAGACGAGACTTAAAACTACAGTTTTGCACACTTTTTATTATAAATCTAATTTGAAATGGATAAATTTGCCATTTTTGCCCATCAGTCTACACTCAATAACCCATAATGGCAAACTGAAAATATGTTGTTAGCAATGATTAAAAATTCAACACTGAAATTTCTCATTTACAAACATATTCAGACCCTTAGTTCAGGACTTGGTGGAAGCCCCTTCACATGTGGAAGCTTCAGGTCTTCTTGGGCAAGTCTTACAAGCTTTGCACACCGGGGTCTGTGCAGTTTATCGCATTCTTCTTGGAAGATCCTGTGAAGCTCTGTCAGACTGGATGTGAAGTGCCTGTGAACTTCCATCTTCATGTCTGACAATCTGTGAGGTGCATGTTTGGGTTTTGGCTGGGCCACTCAAGGACAGGCAGAGACTTGTCCTGAAGCCACTCTGGTGTTCTCTCAGCTGTTTGCTCCTCTTTGTAGTTAACTGCATTCATTCTTCCCTCAGTTCTGATCAGTCTACCCGTCTTTGTCTGCTGAGATGTCATCCTAGCAGTCTTTGTCATCTCTGCAGAGGACATCTCAAGCTCTGTCAGAGTGCCCAATGCGTTCTTGGTCACCTCCTTGACCAAGGTCCTTCTGCCTGATTGCTCAAGCTGGCCAGATCACCTAAGAGTCCTGGTGGCTCCAAACATCTTCCATTTTACAATTATTGAGGTTGCTGTGGGGGAACATTAAGGTGCTTTCATACCCTCGTCCTGATCTATGCCTCATCATAATTTTATCTCGGAGGTGTACACAGAGTTCCTTTGGCTTGGCTTTTTGTCCTGATAAGCAGTGTGAATTGCAGAAATTTCAAAAAACATGTTTTAACTTTGTCATTATGGGTTGTTGAGTGTAGATTAACAATTTAATCTACAGCTTTAAGTCTGAAAAACGTGGTCTGAAAACCTTCTGAACAAACCATATTTTGTCACAACCTCACTTCCCCACAGACTTGAACTTTAACTGACCGAGCCTGGTCCCAGATGTGCGTGAACAGAAATAATCTATTGTCTTTCTACACTCTTTTGCAGCTGCATCACAGATGCCACAGTAGCCACATCCGATGCTACCAAGGTAGTTCCTTAGAAAATGTCTGTAGATAAATACGGTCATGACTCTGTATGACAAACAACCTGTCTGGAAAAAGAAAGAATCCTGGAAATGAGTGGTGTGTGGATATAGTGATAAGATAAGTTAGATCTGCCTCCAACGCACACATTAGTAACCATAACACAGGAGACCTGTTGTGTGTCTGTTTTTGTCTTTACCAGTGGTTATGCATGCCTTAGTGAGTCTAATCATATTAGGCCATTAATAATCAGGCACATTGTGGAAACAAGACTGTGGAGAATTGAAACATGCTCATGATAGATTCTGTTGGTCTGAGGGGGTGAAAGAAGGTTGGATGAATCACCAACTTTTTTGAGATGACTGAATTAAAAAAAATTCTTGAGTTTAACTGTAGCATCATACTGAAAGCTCAACCACCCCAGACGACAACTGGCTGCAGCTGCACCATGGCTTTGTCACAGCTCCCGTGATAACTGGAAGCAATAAGCAGTCTCTTCTTCAACAGGCACAGTTCCATGATAGTTGTGAGGTGTTTTATAATAATGTCTGCAGCTAGTTTGTGGTAACAAATGCTATGTTACTTGACTCAGCTTAATTACTGTTACTTCATGCTGTCTTAAATTTGTATTTCCTAAAACATGCCTCCCTCTGGTGCCAGAGACTGAACTGCATTGTATTACTGTTTAAGAAGCATCCATTCTTGTTTATTTCCTTAAGCCCTTAGCTTAAGCAAAGTTTTCTGACAATGGGGTTGCACATCTCAGTTGTCCTTGAATCAGCATCTCACAAAATGTGGTTAACGCACTCGGTTGCTTAGCCACTTTTTGAGATTTCACATGAAAGCCCAGTGTAGAACCTGGGTGTACCTCTGAATGCGATGCTTCCTGCAAATGAAGGCATAAACTCTCCTCAGGCCCACCAGGACAGGGTCCCAATTGTTGTAGTGGCATAAGAGTGTGGCGATGAAGAAGGAGAGGAAGACGGGGACTGCCCCAACAAAAAACAGCCACGAGAAACGTACCTGTCCAACACACAGAGGAAAATAACTACTGTTAGTACTGGCCTTCACTTTTTTAGATTCATTTATAAACACATGTTAACATCTGTATCTATATAATTGAATCATTATAATACATGCTATTTGTTATATTTTAAGCATTGTTACATAGTGCTCACAGAGGAAAAGATAAAACAATGTAGTACCACAATTAAATGAAATACAGCAATCAAAAGCATAGAATAAAAGAATAAAATACTAAAATGATAATTAGGTAGATAGAGAAAAGATGATATATAATACAATGTAACTAGGAATCAACAGATAAAATGCTTTAAATTTAATCAATAACATTTTAAAATCAAGTCTAGAGATGATTGGTAGTCAGTGAAGAGAGGCTAAAGCAAGAGTAACATGAATGAATTGGATCAAAGTCAAGCAGCTGCATTTTGTACCAGCTGCAGGCTTGAGATTACTTTTGGCTTAGCCCTGAATACAACTAATACAACTAATACAACTTTTCAGCCAATATCTAATCACTTCTAGGGTTGGTCCCCACCAATGTCTGTACCAAGTATGCTCGTGGTCCATCCACACACAGAACCAAAAACATATCCTCATTGGCAGAGGTAATGAAGGAAGGAAAACAGCCAGCAGTAAGAGAACTAAACTAAATCAAGGGACTGACAGTGTCAAATACCTCCTTAAATGTTTTGTGAGGAAAATGTTCAAAGGACCTTTACATAAATAACGATTTAGACAAATTACATCACACACGCACAAACAGCAACATGAATTACAACTCTTACAAATATTGTTAAAAAATGTTGGCTAGTAAAATGTTAAAACCTCTCCGAGGAATCGGTGTCTCTAACTTCAGTTTGTGTTGCAGCTCATTTCAGTAGTGAGGTGCCGAGTAAGGAAACCAGTTTCCCCCAGTTCAGAATTTGTATGAGGTGCTTCTGTAACTGTTATGAACTCTGAAGTCAACTAGGGATGTCAAAGAACCTGGCAGTTTGGATAGCAGAGCCTTACAGATGAAGACATGTGTATGGAGTTGCCTTCAGGGGGCCAAAGATGACCATTTGACCTTTTCATACAACTCAGTGGTGAGTATGACAGCTATCTTATGTAATGAATCAGATGGTGCTGTGGTAGGCAGCATCTGGTGGTTTTAGGGTAGTGGCAACAGCATCAGCATACAGAACATCTCCATAATCCAATGCAGACAATGTTGTATAATAGTTTTTCTGCCTTCAAAGCAGAAACAACTTCTGTTTTGGTATAAAAAGCCCATTTGAATTTTCAGAACAAGATGTCCTACATGAGTTTTACAGGACAATCTACCATCTAACCAGAATCCTAAATATCTGTAATGCTGGCCTTAGTTAATTACTTCTCCATTCAGAGTATTGATAGTATTGAGATCATTAGTGACTGGAGCTCAGTTTAGAACCATAAAGTGCAGTCTTGCCAATGCCAAACATATCATTTCTTAACTGTCACTTTAAACTTGCTTGGCTTAGGTTCCTGCTGTAGGAAACTTACTTTCTGCATGCAGATATCTGCCATAATAGAGAGCGGTATGGTGAGACTCAGTGCCAAGGTCCCGATTAGAGAAGATGTAAGGAAACAGCCCCTGTGGACAGAAAGCAACATCACTGATCACACTTGAAATGTTTATCAAATAATCTGCATTACTGAAAATGAAGCTTTTTATACTCTTCAGTGCTGCATTCTTCTGTGAGTGTCTATTATGAATGCTCAACAAACTATCTAAATAGCTTGCAAAAATGTGATTCTTTTGGTGTCAGAATTGTGACCTGAATAAATTCAGGTGCTCACCAGAGCCAGAGGAACTCTGAGAGAACGGTTCCAATGAGACCATTAATGAGAATGTAGGTCCACACCAGGTGGCTGGGAAGCTCAAAGGCCTCGAAGCCTGTGTAGTGAAGCAGGAGGAAACCCGGCCACAGCAGCAGCAGGTTGAACAGACCCACAAACCCTGAAAGACACATAGCATCTCCAGCTTATTTCAAAAGCCAATGCCTGTTGGCCATAGCGGCTACAGCTCCATCAAATAAAGCAGAGGTCTCAATATATTAAGTATTTCAGCATATGGATAAGGCACAGGCAGTGCCAAGACTTGTTTAGTGCTTGAAACAACTATAATAGTAGCTTACCAAAGAACATGGGAATGTCAAGCTTATCCTCCCGATCCACACGTCTCTTGATCATTACAACGTAGATAGCGTACAGTACCGCCCCAACCAGTGACCACAAAGAGCCTTCATTAAAATTTAAAAGTCATTACATTTGGACAGAGGGTTTCAAATCACACTATATTAATAGCAGAATAGTGAAGTGCAAGAGTAGCTGATGCCGTCTCTATATTTACCTATGGCACCTTTCTCATCAGGGTCGTCCATGCTGGAGAAACTCACAAGGGCAACACCTCCCATGCTACACAAGAGAGATTGTACATGAGCTGACAGGTAAACAGGGTTATGTTGCTAGTAATGCCATTATCACATATTAAAAAACTGAAGCAAAAGAACAAAAACATGACACAAAGTATAAAACTGCTAGAAGACTCATACTGCACAAGAAAAAACTGGTGACTGATGATGAAACGCTGCTTTTCTTAGCTGAGGACTGACCTCACTTACGCCGACATGTGACCAATATTTCATCAGTTCACTTTAACCAAAATTAAACAAGCCATTATGCACAGTAATGTGGATAAAGAAGTCCTTTTGGGAAATTTGCTTTCATGGCGAGAATCAGATGAAAAGCTGACAGCACTCTCATGTCTATATGCTAAATATGAAGCTATAGCTTGGAGTCAGTCAGCATAGCAGAGCATACTGGAAATGCAGGACTACAAGATCAGGTTTATACACTGGGGATCATTAAATCTCTAGCTAGCAGATATTTTGTAGCAATCTGATCAGTAGCTGTTGAGAAATCTTTGTCTGAATGAGTCTAATGGGGAAAACACTGACATCTTCCTCAATAACATTACATGATTTTCATTTAATTTTATTCAATGGCAAATCAGAGCATATCATGGGGGGGGGTTGGGGATTGAATGTGAGAAAATGACATGGTCTGTGTCAGAGTCTGATCAGTGTGATGGGTTTAACTTTGCAGCCAACAGTACCCCATCAGAAAAGTGCTGGATTTGTTCGACTCCAATATGAACCAGTGTATCGAGAGGAAAAACTGCAGCAACAAAATGATATACTGGCTGTGTTCATTACAATCAAGTGCAACAGACTGGGTGACTGCAGCATGCACTTCTCAGCTTAACTGCCGACACTTTGGTTCAGGCCTTACCTCAGAGCCACGGCTAACAGTTTAGACAAGGTGAAACGGTCGCTGCTGCTGCTGGGAAATATGGCTGCTAAGATGAGTGTAAACAGGCCTGAAGAGGGAAAGGTGATAGAGCACACTGGAATCAGAACACTGAGGGTGCAGGCTGCTAAATGCACAGTGGCTAACATGACCAAACCACTTTCCCATTTTCCTTTACACCAGTTGTAAACAATACTGTATAATCTCCACTTTACATTTTACCAATGTCATGAAACTCATAGAGAGAGAGTCACCTGAGGTGGATGACAGAATGTTGACAATCGCGACCTGCGTGTCGGACAGGGCTTCCTGATAGGACAAGTTTGCCAGAAACCACTGGAAGACAAACAGAGGCAATGATGGGATGTTTTCAACCTTTACAATACATAGGCCTGCAGCAAATACCACTTAACTTCATGAAGCCTGCTTATTCAGGAGACATAGGTTCATATGACTCAAATATTACAGACCTCCCTCTTTCATTAAATTCATTCAGGACAAGACCCAAATCCTCCCAAACAATAACAGTCTGCAGTTATAGGCAGCTCCCTCCTTAAACCTTCAGATGTTTTCTACTGAGAAAGTTTTAGAAGCCAATACTTTGGCTCTTTGAGGAAGTTTAGTCTGAAATAACCTATAAAAGCTGCGACATTGGCCACGTAAGACCATGATTTTAGTGCACAGTGTTTAGCTGACTAGGAATAGACACTAGGTTTATAATATATAATAACTGTAATAAGTGGATAGTTGACTAATTTATCTGAAGTATATTCTGATACAATTCTGTTTGAAAGTTAAGGCATCAATCTGATTCTAATAATCAGCCATCACTATTTCACTCCTGAGAGGTTAATGACATTTAAACTATTTGTATTTTAGTTTATGTAGTAAACATTATTATTTATATTTCAAAAACAGGCCATTAGAATTGTTTATGGACTTGGTTACAGGGATCATACGAATTCATCATTTGCACTGTCAGGTTCTTTAAAATTTTCTGATACAATTCTGTTTGAAAGTTAAGGCATTCTGCTGTATTTATGTATAAAGTTAGATATAATTTGGTGCCAAGTGGTATTCGGGGTTTGTTTGGTGATCGAGAGGGTGGTTATGGATTGAGGGGCCCCTTAAATTTAAAAACTCAGGTTATACGTACAACTAGGAAAAGTTTTTGTATATCTGTGTGTGGGGTGAAATTATGGAATAGATTGGGTGATGATTTAAAACAATGTACAAGTGTAAAACAATTTAAGAACAAATATAAAAAGGTCTGCATAGCTGGGTATCGGATACAGGAAGTGTAATGATATTATCATGATATTATTGGTATATTTATGGGTGGGATATGAATAATTGATTGTATATAATTTGGTTATGTAATTGTGTAATTGTGATTTCTGGCTAGAAGGAATGCAGTGATTCGGGGCCGCGGGAATTTAACCAGTGTAGCTGTTTTAGCTTAACACTTGAGTTGGGTTAATCATAGTTTGGATTATCAGGGGTAGAACTAGATAAGTATTACTTCTTTCTACTCCTTTGCAAGCATGTAATGATCATTTATCATCATGAGACTTTTTTTCCTCTTTTTGGGGTTTTCTCTGGTTGTTTTGAGGTATATATTGATCATGATTTCTTTTCCCTTATCTGTTTTATTATATGCTTGGAATTAATAAATAAATTAAAACAAACAAACAAACAAAAACATCATGCAGCGTTAAACATCCATTACTACAGTTTCTAACACTCTACTATAGCTGCAATGACTGTCAGTGACCTCTGACCCTTCATTACCACCTCCTTTGGCTTCTCCCCAGGACCCGTTTTTACAGACTGTCTGACGTTTTCATTCAAATCAGTGGTCAATCTCTGTTTTGTGTGTCTAAGCGAGCATCTCTCTGATCCTCATCTCCTGTCATCTCTCCACTATCACTATCTAATAAAAAGGCACAGAGCTTATGAAAAATAACAAAAAATAATAATAATATGCCGGAATTGTGGCACATCAGCCACAAACACAAAGTGTAGTGTGGCAATAGAAAAACTATTTCCTAAAAATTTCAAATATATTTCTCAAACTTAGTAAGATCTTTAAGTGATCACATTTAAGTTGATGCCAAAAGCTGTGCTTCAATATTTTCCAGAAGTTCCTCATTGATCTGAGAGACAATGAGTCACCAATTAAAAGCACTTCATCACACATGATTAACAGCTTGTAGTCTTGATACTCATGCTCAGACATGATTCTTATGTGCCAAAAGCACTTCTTTTTTAAGTACAAGCAAAACACATTAGTTGCCAACTGGCTTGCAAATAACACTTATAGAACACTCAAGTGTGTGTTCTCATTATGCTTTCTAAGCCACGACTACAACACGACACAAAAACGAGAGACAGGACAAGGACGAGTGGTGTTGCAGAGCTATGTTTTGGTGTAATTTCTGGATTTTGCTCAACCTAAAGTGCATTAACATGCACAGCATGAGCATGGGACAGTAACAAATGATGGCGATAATGAACTATATCAAGGAAACGAGGCAGCAATTAAACTGGAGAGGAGCACCACAAGCTGGTGCTGCAATGTATCTGCTAACATTTGTAAAGCAAAGATATGAATTCAACCTGTTTGTGAAACCTTGAAAGATACACATCGTGCAGTTTGGTGGGAAATTCCTAAAGTTTGCATCACATACATTACGCAATGTAATATTTGTGATGTTATAGCTGCGCCTTTAAACCAGGATCAATCAATACTTTATATATTAATATTGCATGAAATGATTGTATAGAGTAGTGATTCTCAATGTGAGTGGTAATTCCCCCCAGCGGGGGCTCAGAAAGCATCAGGGGGCGATCTGGTAGCGGTGAGGGGGACAGGATAGCAAAGGTGGGCACTGACCAAGCTGCTGTCTTCACCCTTCTTCCCTTGCCATTTCCCTTATTTCAGATAAATGTACTTCACAGGGCGTCGTAAAGTTGTATAATGTTGATACTTGTTGTCTGCGTTGAGTGTGAGAGAAGGAGATACTGTTCTATATTGTTTTGTAACAGAGTTTAAGCTAGTGGTGTAATGTTGAGCAGGGACTCAGCCAAGTACTTCACATGAAGTCAGGATACAGACTCTGGCTAAATCTGACAGCCTCAGGTGCACTTAGCCTCAAGTTAACATCCCTCCCACTCATAACGAAATTAACAGCAAATCAATAATGTATCTACACACCATCTCCACTGGGTAGTAGTAATGCTGGCAGGCATTGATTGATTGATTGATTAATTTTGTTCCCCAAAGTGTTAATTGTATTATATTTGTTCAAAATGCAATGAAAACTTTGTGCTGATTTTCATTTTGTTAATTCGTTGGAACATTAGTTATAACTTATGTTTGGAGCTGAAAAATACTGGATTGTTGACTTAGCTAAGTACAAGTATCAGTACCACAGTGTAAAAATACTGTTAGTAAAAGTCCTGTGCTGAAAATGTAACTTAATTAAAAGTGCAAAAGTCTTAGCATCAAAATATATCTAACGTACCAATAGTAAAAGTACTTATTATGCACAGTGGCACATTTCACATCATTTTATTGGATTATAATGAGTTATTTGGTACATCTTTCTTTTAAAAAGAACTCACCACGAAGCAGAAGAAGAAGCTGATTTTGGCCACATCAGTGATGGTTAGCTTGCCTACTGTGCGCAACATGGCTTCATGTTCCTTGGCAGCTGGGTAGGACATGCGGGACAGCTTGGCCTCCAGGGCTTGAGTGGGAGGCAGCTGCCGCACCTCCATGATATTACTAAAACGCACCCGGTGCTTTTTGGAAGCTGCTGAGAGACAAATGGAGAGAGGTGTGAACTGAGAGAGCCAGGGAAAAACAGGTGTGGGTTAAAAGTCCAAACAGAAATTACAATGTAATTTTGAGGCTCTATTTGTATTCTCATCATTTTAGTATATTACACAAAACATCACCCCCATAAGGTGCTAATGCATGACTGGGCTGAACACAATCAGCATCATTTTCAATACAGGTGCCAAACAAACGATCAGTTGTATTTAAAAACAAAAAAAAAACACCAGAAACCCCCAGAGACTCTCTGAACCTCTACTGTGTGGCTTTGCATGGGCAAGAATTGTCAACCACTTCTAGAAATGTTCTTAAACTGCATCACTTAAAATGTTTTACCTGCTGCAAACTGCAGCCAAGACAAAGGGGAGAACATTGTGTTGAGAGTGGCTCCAAACGGTGAGTGTTACCTGTTTTCATAGCTCACACTGCCCTCTGCTGTTCTAATGTTATTTTTCATTAATGAGAGCAAACCGATAGTTATCAACCACATCAGCACTGAAGGACATTCATGATAATTCAGAAGGTGATGTAATGTTGATAAAAGACAAGAAACATGCTTCATGCCTTGTTTTATAAAGCATCAGCTGTACTCACAAGATTCACAGTCTCCAACTAAACAAGTTGAGTGTTCAGCAGAAAAAAAAATCACTGGCACGTACAGTGGTTCACTCTGCAGAGGAGTGAACAATAAAGTCAGACATGTATAGCTGCTAAATGCTATTTTTACTTCTCTGAGCTTGTCATGGTCTTGGCAGACTAGATTAGGGAATGATAAAAACTGTGACTAATACAATGCACATGGAGTCATCGTTTAGTCTGCAATGAAGCTACTTACCAAACAGCTGTTCACAGTGGTGTCAGAGGTGCAGGATGCAAAGTAAGCCTCCGCATCGGCAAACTGCTGAAAAATGGAGATCAGATTCAAGATTCAAGAGTTTTATTTGCCATTTATGCATAAACAGACAGTCTAGACATATAGGAACTCTTGTGCAGCTCTCCTTTGGAGTCAGGTAAGGAGTCAAAAGCCAGAAAGAACATTTAGTCTTAAAATAAAAAAAGTTACATAAGGGCAACAAAGTATTACAATGAAATACACAAAAATAGGGTAAGAGTATTTAGTGTTGTCATGGTTGAAGACACAGTTGTGGGTGTACAGGGTGAAGAGTTTGGGACTGAGACAGCAGCCCTGCGGTGAGACTGTGCTGATTGTGACCTCAACAGACACCCGTCCTCCCATTCTGACCACCTATGGTCTTTCAGTCAGGAAGTCCAGAATCCAGTTACAGGTGGGAGTTGGGACACCGAGGTCTGTCATCTTCCCAATCAGACTACCCGGGCGAATGGTGTTGAATGCAGAACTGTAATCCAGGAAGAGGTGTTTCAGGGTGTGGAATAAAGCCAGAGCCGTCGCATCCTCCACTGATCATGTACTGCGGTAGGCAAACTGGACGGGGTCTACAGTGTCCGGGACCATGTGGTTAACGTGTGAGGACCAGTTTCTCTAAGCACTTCATGGTGACTGATGTGAGCGTCACTGGCCTGAAGTCATTCAGAGTCAATGTGTCTGATGTCTTAGGGAACGGTATGATGAAGGATTTTTTTGAAAAAGCGAGGAACTACTGCTTGGGTTAAACACAGGTTGAAGATACTGTATGCACATCCCCACAGGCTCTCAACACTCCATCTGGTTCCGCCACCTTATGGGGGTTTACCTGTTTCAGGGCCTTCAGGACCTGTGTGTGCGTCATCTGAAAAGCAGTGTCCCCCAGGTTGCAGGGGGATTTTGAGGGGGTGTCTGTGTTCATCCTGTCAAATCTCACATAGAAGTTGTTGAGGCTGGACATATAGAACATTCTGGAAACATCTTTTCCACAACTTTCTCCTTCTGCAGCAGATGGAACTTAGAAAAATGTCAGAAATGCCTGGAAAAGAAAACATACAAAGTCCCATGTAGAGAGAGTGTGGCCTGACTACTTACAAATGCAGAGTGCGGGCGCTTCAGAGTGCCAGTGCACTGCTGCCTCCAGGGCCGCCACAGCAGGAAACCCAGCAAATACAGCACAAACATGGAGGTCTTGGTGAATGTGCTGAAGAAGGGTTTGTTGTATTCCTGCCGCTTGAAGATGTACTGTGGGAACAAGCAACAGGAGGAAGCTGTTTGGATAACCACTGTATTTGTGCTGGAAACTGGACACTTTTAGGACTTCACAGCACCAAGTTTGCTTTCATAGGTCCGTGCTCTCAACTCAAACCTGTTTCACCTCTCAAACCCTCCTCCTGTTTACTATAGTTGGATTTCTAGTTTATCCAGAGTTGCTCCTATGAGTAAACAAATGATATTTACTCAGCCTAATGTGACACTTCATACTCTTACTCCGCTACATGTCATATGAAGTTTGTGTTCTTTTCTCTCCAGTACATTCATCTGCCTATTTTTCCTTCCTCTAGTTACGTCTTTATTTTTCTGCAACACATTTTGACAAACTGCTTGTATGTTGGTTGCCTCCTATTGTTTTCCATTTCTAGATACTTCCGGCCACTTCTGTTCTGCTAACCCAGATTTTCCTTGTGATGATGCCACTGCCATAAAAAAATCCACTGGAACTACAATAAATCTCAAATTTGGACTCATCAGAGCAAAATCCAGTTTTAATTAAGGATATGAGTACTTCATCAGCTACTTGTTGGAGGAGAGAAGGACATGCTGTGTCATGCATTGAGGCACAAACACAACAAACAAGTTCACACTAGTCACAGATCCCAGATCACCTCAGTGGTCTCTGATTGCTGGAGCATCTGCACCCCCTCTCTCGCTACATCCCTGTTGTGTCATCTTGTACTGCAACCCAGACTACAACAGCAGCTGTGGAAAATGGCAGACTGTGACAAAGTCCTTACTGAGGTTAGCTCAGAGGAGGCTACCCAGATGACATCCACCAGCAGGAGTATCACCACCCCCAGGGCCATCCGCTTCCGTTGGGCTGCACAGCTACCCTGAGAACTCATCCGGTTCATGATGAACACCCACGCCATCAGAACACTAAAAAAAGAATGGATGAACACAAACATGTTACTGAAATTTAGAAATGCACAAATGAATCATTTTCTTTTCTTCATTAGAATTGAACAGTATTAGTATTTAAGCAGAAGTCCTGTAAATACTGCATCTTTATTTACAATGGCATCTACAATGTCCATCCATCCATCCATCCATCCATTTTCCTCCGCTTATCCGGAACCGGGTCACGGGGGCAGCAGTCTAAGCAAAGATGCCCAGACTTCCCTCTCTCCAGACACTTCCTCCAGCTCCGCCGGGGGAATGCCAAGGCGTTCCCAGGCCAGCTGAGAGACATAGTCCCTCCAGCGTGTCCTGGGTCTTCCCCGGGGCCTCCTCCCAGTGGGACAT